CTAGTGAAACTTTTCCCAGCCCAGCCAGAAAGATGGAATTCTAAACTAGCATTCAGAGGAGGACCTAGTACACCACAGGCTCCCACAAACTCCAGCACAGATGTTGCCAAAGCCAGGAAGCATGCCTCTCCTTTTCAAAGAAGCAGCAGCATGCACGTTGCATTGCACTGCAGTGTGGACAGCCGCTATGGCCCTTCATGGGCAAAGGGAGAGCTCTTTTATCTGATTTTTGGCTGCAACTTCTGTTGCCTATGCCCTCTCCGAAGAAAGTCGAGGGTATTGCATGCAGTTCTGGGTTCCACCATTTAAAGAGGGTACAGAGGCAGGCAAGAAAAATAATAAAGGGCTTGGCCGGCAAGTCATATGAGAAGAGGCTGAAGGAGCTATGCACGTTCATGTCTGCCTGGGATCTCTTGAGCATATATTAACAAACTTTTATAGAAGCAAGACATTGGCTGCCATGGTTTCCCTCCTTTACTTGTGGAAGGACAGAGTGTTATGTCTGTGTTGCGTCAGGCTTGATGGGAGTCTTATGTAGAGTTTAGATTATGGATTGTATAGGCTAGTTTGGATAGGGATGATCCTGCTGCAGACAAGTTGTTGGACTAGATGACCTCTGGAGGTTCCTTCCAGCCCTACTTCTCTCTGATTCTATGATTTCCCCCTTAATTTATCGTTTGGGGGATTTAGAAATCATAGTCTACAGATGCAGGTCATACCTATTCATTATAGTAAACATTCATAGTCATGAAGATTTGATTTAGAAGGAGTGTCCTGCTCTGTTCCTTTCTTCTGCTAAAATTTCATTCCAACTTCAGCTATATCCTTAGCACAATACATTTCATATTCTCTGGAATGATCATTTTCATTCAAGATTTTCATTTTTACTGTGCACTTTGTTCTAGACTTGAATAAAATGTTTTTTTCCGTACAAGGCCACTAAAATCACTGGCAATAGTCTTTAGCACAGTGGTAAAGCTGGGGTTTTATTTAGTTGACCCTTTAGATAACTTGTGTGTTCACATATGTTTAAATTGAAGAATGGCATTTCAAATCCTGCCAAATTCTTCTATGGAAAGCAAGACAAATGTTTAAAAAGTGAAAAATTCCACTTGGTCTTAGTTTGAAAATGAAAACAGTAAAGGATTCAATATGATGACATCAGTAAGTTCTATGAGCATAAAATTAACTTTCATAGTAACATAAATTTATGTTTAAAAAATATTAAAGAACTCAATTAGCAGTAGAATACTCTGTGGCAATTGTGACTGATAAAGACATTCAACTGTTTATACGGGTTACTGAATATAGAAATCTCAGCTAATTCATCTCATACAGTCAAGTTCTGTCAGCTGCTTAAAACCATCGTGGCTCATGGACCTAGATGGCATAGCATATACTCGCAGGTAAATTTGACTTCCTAATTAGGGCAAAACTGCTTTCCTCTTCACAAGTTCTAGATCCTTTTACTAGACAATAGATACTATACAAAAATGAGCTTAGAAATTTTTCTTCTGAAGCCCTTCCTTCTGCATAAAGCTGTTCCATTCTCTCACCAATGCCATGTCTTTTTTCTTTACTGTATCTGTTAATTCTTCAAGACTAACTGGTTCAACTATGATCTCATTTCAGAGCATTGGACAGAAAAGGCTATAACTTACAAAACTATATGCCTTTTTGGACAAGTTAGTCTTTTACGTGCTGTCCTAACTTCAGATTTAGATGCCTAAGTACCTCTAATTCTTATTTAAAAACAGGCCAGGAAGAGATATAGAATTTGTGCAAACCCTTTAAAATAAATATTTTTTCAGTATCATGAAAGCATACCTGAAAGGCATTAAAAGGTGCCCTTCAATGCTGGGGGGAGGGAGGACAAGAGATGCATAAGTATGTGATTTCTCCCTTATGCCATATATATGTACCTCTTTTTAAGGATTAGAAATGTCAGAAGTTATATGTGGTCTTCCCTAGTATGTTTTTTTTTCTTGTCCATTTTTCCCCCTTAACTGGAGGACGCTCCAGTCTCGAAGCCTCGTCCATGTCCATACAAACTCTCATGTTAACTAATGGTGTGATTTTAAACCAATTTAGTTAAATCAGTGCAAGTTTGTGTTTAGCTTGTCTTATCTGAGTTTAGCTTAATCCTATAAAAGCAGATTAAGCTAAACCAAAATAAGCCACTCAAATAGAATTAGAACAGCAAAACACAAACTTGCACTAATTTACCTAAATCTGTTTTAAATCACACTTTTAGTAAAATCACTGGGAATTCTTTTCTAGACAGCTCTGCAGGCTAACAAGCCACACCTGTCAACTGAATGGACAGGGATGGTGAATCTTTACACAAAAGATATCTTTTCACCCAAGTAATACTCAGGAATTATCTCAATATTCATAAAAAACACACATTTCAGCTACTCTGAACAATCCTTCCCCTCTCAATCAGGATTCATTTACTTCATGTCTCTCTTTCCAGTTAGCCACAGTATACTTTGAGGGTAGAGAGGGAAGAGGGGAAGAGATACAAAAAAATTTAAATATAGAAAAATAAGCTACCTGGCTCCCTCCTCTACTATTGTGAAAACATCTTCAGACACACACTCCTAAAACCTCCTGGACATGTACTATAGATGCACAGTATTTTTTTTTTAAAGCAGACTGGTGTTTTCCTTTTCCAGTCACTTTCAGGCATGGTAGACAACCATACAAAGATAAAGCAGACGCGATTTTACATTTCACTCAGGGAGCTGTTCAGCTGTAAGAGGTTCATGGGCAGTATAGGATGTTACCTATATAAGTTTTGCTCAAAAGCACCGAAAAATCTTTTTCCCCTCAGCCCAAAAAAGTTTATGATTTACCTACATTTTGTATAGGACATCCCCCTGACTTCACAGAGTGAATAAAGTCAGTGAAGAGACGTTATCTTCCACACAGAGCCAAGTGTGACCAGTCGTAAAACCTTACAATCCGTGTAACAATAAGGAGACAACGGCTGCAATCAGTAATTAGGGTGCAGACCACTTCTCAATTTATCACTGTCATGGTTCTTCAGATGTGTCATCACCACTCTGGTCAGTATTATTGTAACAGCGATTATCATGAAGCCCAACTTGATTACCTTTTTGCTAAACAAAGTCTTATTTAGTTGTAGTTAATCTTCAGTTGTGGGCAGCAACAAATCTATAGGGATGGAAATTCTGTTTTCCCATGGATTTTGAAAGATCCTTCAATATGTGTGCTTTATTGCTACACCTCAGATTGTAATAAGTGTTATAATCTAATATGGCTTGTCACTGAGTTTGCAGCAAGAATGAAAGCGCATTAAGAGATTCCCTCTCTCCCCTGCCTAAATAGTTTTAACCCTGGAAAATTTATCATGACCACTCAAAGGTTAATTTTATCATTCCATTGCTAATAGTGTACCACAAACACTCTGGAACTGTGACTGCAGTGCTACTAGACCTACCAGTCACGTTCTATTCATTTGAACCTGCATTTCATAAGATTTGAATCTATGAAGTCAGATATTCTTTAGGCCCTTCAGATAGCTGAGACCATGGTTATTAAAAGTCCGGGTAAAAATGAAGCTTTCAGCACTTAACTACAAATAGGAAAATCAAGGGAACTGACAGGATCATCTGAGTAATTTCAGGATAATCAATGGATGTATGGGTGTGCAGGTGAGAAGCAGTTTATAAACTTTGTTCCAATAAGAGCAAATGCAGTTTAATTAATGCCAATGAATATCTTTTTAATCATTTCAAAAGTATTCATTAGAGAAGGGTGATGATAATTACCTTAAATTAATTATCTATATTCTTTGACAATTGGTTTTCCTATACTATATACAACTTCCATTTTAAATATTTAACAGTTTCTTCCATGCCTAAAAGATTACTATATGCAAAGCTTTTCACAAATTCAAGAGACCTAAAAGTGTTTTCTTTCTACGTACATCTCCTTAAACTATGAAAAGTCTTTCTGCATTGTGAGATTATGTAAAATTAAAGTGGTTGCTACCGCACACCATGTAAATACCTGCTCTTAGGTTTCTGATTACACCAGACAATTGAAAACTCAGAGATTTATTTTACTTGCATCGCTTCAGGAACAGAGGTAACAGCTACACTATGACAGCTTATAAGCACTCCCAAGCAGCAACTCTGTCTTCCCATTTCAAGTTACAGTTGCTTGTTAGCCAAAATTTTCATCCTTAGGATGTGTAATTCTAATTAAAGAAGACTTGTCAAAACAACACATCCTGCTTCTTACTGTATCAATTTTAAAACTAGCACACAAAAAGATCTATACACAGAACAAAAAGATGTTTGAGATTTCTATGCTGCCAGGCTAACTCATGTAAAACCTAACAAAAATAATCATACAGAGCAG